AAAACCATAGAACTCAAAGAGAGTGTACTTTCTTTTTCACACAACTGTACCTTTATACATTCTAGACAATTTCTCCAGTGACATATATGATATATCATTTTATAAAAATTATCTTTGAAATTATAAAATAATGTAAATTTCAGTCCTTTCAACCACATATTCTCCCACTGTTCCACTTGTATATTATAACCAAAATTTTCAACCCACTTTATCATACATTCTTTCACTTGTTCTTCTGTTTCAAATTTCAATAGAAGTTTATACATTTTAGCAATAACATATTCATCATTTGTACACAGTTCTATTTCAAACTCAGTCTTACACTGCTCAAATCTGAAAAATCTTTTGTCTACTTTAAATCTTTCTAATAGTTGTACATAGGAGAACCACTGACAAGTGTAACCTTCTGCCACCAGATCTTCCTTTGATTTTATTTTACGTTCTCCTTAACAAAATTCTAATATGTCACAATAAGTTATCCATTTGAACTTACTTACCATCTCTCTTCTATGAAATGCTTCTTGTACTAAGAGCCACAAAGGTATTTTCAGGCACAACCTGGGTTTGTATCTATTCCATATTCTCAGTAACTTAACTTAGCTTTGTTGTACCATAAGTATCCATGCCACCCAAAAACTCATGGAGTTCTTCTAACTCCAAAAGCCTTCTGTTTTCAGCAACATCCACTCTTTCATCCAAACAAGCTGCAAAGTATAATTTCAAATCAGGTAATCCCAATCCTCTTCTTTCTTTTACATCTTGTAACACCTTATATTTAACTCATGGGTTTTTTTCCCCTTGCCACACAAATTTAGATATATCTTTCTGCCATTGTTTAATTGGTACATCAGTTATTAAAGCAGATATTGCCTGAAATAAAATTAATATTCTAGGCAAAACATTCATCTTAATCACAGAAAATCTCCCCAGCAATGACAGCTGTAATTTCTCCCATCTTAACATATCTTTTTTAACTTCATTCCATGTCTTAACATAATTATTTTGAAACAACATACAGTTCATATTTGTTATAATAATACCCAAATATTTTACCTTCTTCTCAATCTTAAAACCCATTTTATTAATCAATTCTGTTTGATCTTGTGTCTTCATATTTTTTGTTAACATGTTTGTCTTCTGTTTGTTAATCTTGAAACCTGCTAATGCACCAAATTCTTTTAGTTTTCCCATTAATATTTCAATTCCCTTTAAAGGATCTTCCAAAAACAGCAAAAAGCTCTTAACTTGTAAGTCTCTTTTTAAATTTTTACTCTCACAATCCTCTCATTCTGTCTTATGTCTCTATTCAGAATTTCAAGAACCAAAATAAATAGAAGAGGAGACAGTGGGCAGCCTTGTCTCATTCCTTTTTGTATCTCACATGGTTTTGTTAAATCTCCATTAACAATAATTTGTGCTTTCTGTGAAATATAAATTGACTTTACCCGTTTTATAAAGTTCTCTTCAAAATTCGTATCATCCAAAACTTTAAATAAGAGAAAAATATTTAAATAAGAGAAAAATCCCTTTTTCCATGTCACAGTTCAATTTCAGCACAAGAGTTTCTGCAGCACACATTTCTGCAGTTGGATCGATAGCCACTGTGGTGAGGCTCACAATTAAAAATAATATAAGATGTCTAAATAATTATTTTTCTTGTGAGCAGACATATTAGGGTAAGTGAAATTGCCAATTACTACACATTGTATTCTTTGGATGTTTCCCTGAATTCATTTACATCTAAGCATATCCGCAATACAATATTGCTTTGGTGTCTGTGTTCATTGAGATCTGTGGAAAAGTCTGTCTATATGAGGTTTTTAACCTGTTTTACTTTTCACATATCACAAAATAATCCCCATTATATCTTTCTTTCTCCTGCCAAAATGTTTGCCACTAGAGGTGGCAGTATCTCACTGATTTTCTTCATTCTGCCAGTTTATAACTACCAGTTTGGATGTGACTGAAAATAGGAAATCTCAGTTGGAATAAAGAGGAAATTTATGGTTTGAACTATAATTGATTTATTGAAGGCTTATAAGATTCTTCAAAATACAATAATATCCTGGAATTTCATTCTTTCTGGGCCAATTACTGAGTGCTTATTTTTCCAGATAAAGCAGAGATAGGCCAGTTCTTTTTTTGGAAGCTTTAATATACAGCATAATGTTGTGGCTTTGCCAGATTATTTACCAGCTTCTTCAGTCATACTGAATGCATTGATTTGGCAGGAGGATCCTCCCAAACAAAATAAAAATGCTTACCAGAAAAGCTGGATTTAATTTTTCACACCCTTAGTATTATCGCTGGGAATTTATTTTAGTTACAATTATAGGCTAGAATAAAGAATTGAGTTAATCTTTGGCTTAATTTGGGAGTTAGTATGCTCCTGCTTCTTGCTTTGGGGTAATGGGTTGGTAGTTCCTGCTGCCACCAAATTGCTGCGCCTAGCATCCAACCCATAATACTGTTGTGTATGAGAGATCAGAATCTCAAATTCTGTGCTTTCTGGTGACTGAAAAATCAAAACAAAAAATGAAATAATTTCTATAATGTGAGCTCCTGGCCATATAGCATAGAAGCATGATGTCTTAAACAGTTCTAGGCTGCACTAGAACAAGCATGTCTAAGATATGTGAGATCCTTATTTCCCTCTAATCTGAACTGGTGAGACCACAGCTGGTATACTGTGTACAATTTTGGGCATCATATTTTTAGAAGATATTGACAGAACAGATTCAGAGGAGGGCACCAAAAATTACACAAGGATTTGAGGACAGGTGGAAGGAATTTGAGATGTTCAGTCTGAGGAAAGAAGACTGACATGATTTCAGTGTTCAGATACATAAAAGGGTGTCTTAAGAAAGATGGTCAGGAACTATTTTCCATTGCCACAGAAACTATGACCAGAAATAATGAATATAAGTTACAGCTATCTATATTTTATTTAAATATAAATAATATTTTATTTAAAAGTTATTTAAGTTTATTTTAAAACTTCTTGACTGTAAGATCTGTACAACAGTAAAGGTTTGAGATTCTCCATGTATGGAGGTTTCAAAGAAGAGGCTGGACAGCCACCTCTCAAAGATGGTTTAATTGGACACTACAGAGAGGTGGACTAGATGATTCTTGTGATCCCTTTCAACTCTACAATTCTATAATTGTGTGGTTATACCAATGAAGATTAAACCCTTCCTCCTGTCCTATCTCAAAAGTGATCGATAAAATCAAACTTTTTTCAAAAATAAGGAAAATGTAAATTCCCTTTTTAACTTTTGCATATTCATATACTGACATTCAATGTTGAAGATAAATTGCACAGTAGCTTAAATCTCAAGATACAGCAACTGCTAACACGTTAAATGTGAAAAATCCAAAATAAAATATAATGTTCCAGCAGACCACAAGATGACACTGGGCTGTTACAAATGGAGATGTCTGCCCAGATCTCTGAAAAGACGGATGGATTTCAAATTAATATTGCAGATTATAAGAAGATAACTTCATGAATGCAGCCTGTAGAATGAGTGAATACTGAAGTTTAAAAACTCTGTTCTATAACTTATACAGACAGAAACAGAAAATGGGACTTTAGTATAGCACAGAAAACTGAAATTAAATCAATTGAAATTCCTGGCTACACATTTACCTATTTCTAACACAAACAACAGTTGTCTGCACCAAAACAGTCTTCAGTTACCCAGCCTTCAGTTACCCAGTTCAGTTACCCAGTTACCCGTCTTCAGTTACCCAGCCTTTCCTTTATCCTAGAATTCCAAATTTTAATCAGACTGCACTTTTCCAAGTGTCCATTCACAGAGTTCAACAGAGTTCTGCCCTTTGTTTTAAAATGGCCAAACATCTTCTATCTTGAACAGAGGGAGGGGCTGGGTTACCTATGCCCCATGCAGATTTCCCTGCTAACAGAAAGGACAGTAATGAGCACTTTGAAGGCAGTGTTCCAAAAGTGTACCCAAAGCCAAATGTTACCATAAGCCTGCCTATGCTATTCTGTGAAAGCTAGAATCATTACTCAAAAGACTATTTTACAAGCCACTATACTGTTGTCTCCATCCTATCAACTAGGATGGAGTTGTATATATTATATGGTATACTGACATACTCAGGTTATTTGGGATTAGCCCAGTTTTAAATGTAGTAAAATAGATATATTATTTGAATAAATTCAGTTCTAATGAAGCTGTTTTAATTTTTTTGTAGAATAAAAAGCAAAGTTTGACTTACCTTAGAGTACCTGTGCAGCCCATTCAACTGAAGCACTTTATTTTTGATCCCCATGCCACTGTTGCTTGAGATGTTCTCCAGCAATTAGAATTTTCTGATGAATCATATGGGGCTTCTAACTCATTTTTAGAAAAAGAAGATGTTGGAATTAATGTAAAGTATTTGCACAGCCTCTGGAATAACAAGCTTGAATGGTAAATCAATGGAAGGAAGTTTTAAAGAAAGTAAAATTAGTTTTCTTTGAACTTATAATTAGATTAATTCAATTTCTGGTATACTAGACACTTCAGAGAGTATTTAGGTTTGGTTACAATCACCTTGTTGGAGATTCAATTCATACAGTAAGTTGGAACATTATCTTCTGTGGTTTACATTTGTCCTGTTTCCATATTTGGGGCTGAAATCAGTTTATACGTTTCTGTATTAATTGTTGCATGTTAAAGATGCTTATGTTTTTCTTGGCTATATCTCCAGTATAAGGCCATCCACAGGGGGTCAAAAAAATCAAGATACCAGGTACGACTGCATGATCAAAGCCACAATGCTTTTTAATGTATGTTGCACACAAATAAAACAGGCAGAGCTTTGTGTGGTCATGCCCACTACCTTGACTTCTTTGATACCCTACCTATGGATACCTCTGCCCTATTATATGGAATTTATCCAGACTTCAAGACTAATATGGGATGCAGGTAGCCAGAATAATAATTTTAAAATACTGGAAAGACAAATCATCACCTGATTTGTAGCAGTGGATTACTAATAGTTAGTGTTTGTCAAAATTTGAATTCATTGGTTGTTGCTTTTTTTGTCCATTTTTATATTAATTTCAGTGATATATTACATTGTTAACACTGATGTTGTGCAGGGGGGTTATGATCTTCTGCCCACTTCTGGCACCCCTACCACATGTTCTGCATTGGTTTGTAATTGTTCCACAGTGTTCTTGCTCCTCTTCTAAGTTCAGTATATTTCTTCAGATAGAGCTAAAGAGCTCTCTTGAGCAGTGCAAACGTGATCCAATCCAGCTCAGGTTTGCCAGTTGCTATTGTCCTTTGCTAAATCCAACAGCCATTCTTCTACAGCTATTTGCTATCTATATCCATCTTAGCTGCCAGCCATTTCCAAATTTTTCCTTCCCAGAGTTCTCCCTGCTGGAGTTCAAAACAATTTATATAAACAAGGAACTGATAATCATTTGTTTGATCTGAAATGTGTTAATATTTTTAGCTATTTTATTCTTAGTCTTGAAAATCACTCAGAGTTCTGTTCAACAATTCCTGTTTTTACCTAGATGGGCAGAGTGGCATCCAGGTTTTCCTTTGAACATAGATGCCAAATCTCATAAGGAGTTGCCTCGCAACATCCAATTTGACAGTGAAAAGGGAGTCGACTTTATCTTGAACTACACCAAAGCGTGAGTATAGTAATGGCTCTCATTTAAGGTTGACACTGTAGATTGGTATTGAAAAAGAGGAAAAATATGTCTGAATTAATTAAAAGAACATTTTAAAATAAATTTGATCCAAATAATTATATTTTGAAAGCAGTATAGAACAGCACATTATATTTTGTATAGGAATACAAATCAGAAAGAATCAAAGCTACGTATGCAACTACAAATCCTATATACTACAATTACAGTGTAATCTGTTAAATAGATGCTCCATTTTTCCCCAGATAAATTTGCATAAGATTACAGATGGATAGTCCTCTAAATGGGAGGGGGGCAAAGTTCTATATTAGAGTCTACTGTATTTAAAACGTAATGGAGATTTGAGGATCAGGGAGTATAATTCACTTTCCTGCCTGGAATTACATCATTTGGAGTTTTTTTTCCCCAGGCTTTGGAGAGGTCCTATCCCTGAACCACTTCCATTCTCGCTAAAATCGCCCAAAACATAGGCTGAAATTGTGCCACTGACATTTGGCTGTTTTGCAGCTGAATTTTGACAGTATGATATTAGGATGCTAGGTGGGGTACATGACGGTCAGGATGATTGGCATTGTCCTAAATGCTAAAGCAGGAAGTAGAGATGCCAGTTTTTTAGCCAGATTTTTAAAAATAAGTTACTTCCGCTCAGGACTAACATGGTTATGGACGTGTCTGGGGCATGTTGGAGGAGTGCGGAAGCTATGATCCTGTGGATCCATGACCTGCTCAGTGTGAACTTCCCTCAGAATACTTGTAGTATAGATTGAGCAGCTCTCTGCCTAATGATACGCAGTATGCCTGTGGATACGTTTCTCTCCTGTGGTGTAATGTAAATAGTTCTAATTTATTGACTACTATATTATTTTATAGTTTATGTTTAAATCTGTCAACTGAGGTTTCTTCAGTTTTACTTTGTAAAATGAATTAGCACATACATTGCTATGAAACGTAGCACTGAATTATTTCTAATTATTTATTGTAATTTGTTTGGCTTGTAGTTGGTCAGTGAAATAACCCATGCATACATCATTAACTTGCTCTTTTTTTACTTATATTTTAAAAATTGTACTTAACATTATTCCCTTTATACAGGACATATACTGGAAGAAGGCATCTTTATCTGGTCTTCCTATCAATAATTAGAAATCACCAAATATTTAGCAAGCATCTGTTCTACAGTCACCCCACAATTTGGAAAGTAGCCTACTGTAGCTTATAGGGCTGTTTATAACCCATAGTCTGATTTCATGATAGCCCTAGTTTAATTTCAAAAGGTCTCTGCAATCAGACAGTTCAAATGTCTAGGAAGAGTTGTCTCCCTTTTCACCCCATACTTCTTAAGAGAGAATGTGTCAGAAAAAAATGAGAGGAAGAAAAGGGGGGGGTGATAAATAATTGCTTTTGCTTCTGACCCCATTTACTCCTTGCTTGAGCTCCACCCAACCTGTTGCTCCTGATATTGCACCAAAATGGAATGCAACCATTGTTAGGGGAAAAAAAAAATGTTGCCCAACCTTGATTTAAATCCAAGCCTGCTTGTTTTGGCTTAGTTCCAGACCTGAAATCACAAATGGCTCTTAACACCTTTAACTTTCAACATGAAAATTTTAGGCTAAACACTTAAAAAGAGCCAAAGGTTGCCTGGTTTATTTAGGTTAGAAGCTAGGTTCTTTTGTATTCTGAGTTTTAACAATTGACTGGGGCAAAATTAGATGACATTTGCAAGCAAAATCACACCTATGAGGATAATCCCTGCAACCTTTCAGAGAGGTTGAGGCATTTTCATGCAAAATGGTCTTTACAAGTTGGAGAGGATTCATTGATCCTTCCTCTTTTTTGCTGGTAATATTTGTGAAAACTATAGATGTTGTAGAGGTCCAATATGAAATTTCTTTCCTTTCAAAAAGTTTCCTGTACTTTTTGGAAGACAGGCTCTCTTTCCAAAATGAACAGGAGAATAACAACACATTTTGCTTTATATCTCTATTACTAGAAGAGTTAGTAAAACTGGGTATTGGAGGATTATATCTTATCTAGGAGTGGGCCTATAGGGTCATGAAACAGGTGTAAAAGTTGTTAAAAAAAATGACCTATAAGGTCATGAAACAGTTGTAAAACACTGAATTCTGGAAAAGATAGGAATTATCTTAAGAAACATATAGCATTCCTTCAGTTATCAACCAAGACAAGAAGCAGGGTAGAACCATATGCAAGGATTTTTATACACCTGGCTGTGATATAATAAGCAGCTCTACTGTAGATGATTCAGAGCAGAATAGGTTTTCAACCTCCATATATTAAAAAAACAGATACTTTACTGAAGTTGTATTCTGATTTGTGTCCATTTCTGAGAAGTAGAAGCTGGAACAAAAGGACATTTTAAAAAAGAAAAAATTGTGGGAGAGATGGAAGAGAGTCATGTTGCAACCATAACCATACAGTATTCTGTTTTGGGGGTTTTAGAATGGAAAATCTCTATATCAACCGTTTCATGCATATGTTCCAATCTTCCTGGAGTGACTTCGCAGATTTTGAGAAGATCTTTGTCAAAATAAGTAATACAATCTCTGGTGAGTTTAATTATAATTGTTGATAACTTGCATGAAAAATAAGTTAATTATATTGCAAATTTCAAGACTGACATAATCAAATCAGTCCCAAATCTGATGCCTACAGAGGTTATAAACACAATTGTCAATTTTTGTTAGCTTGACACCTCAAATCATAGAGGAACACAAATTAAAAAAACAACTGGAATTTATAGAAAGGTATGTTATATTTCTAAATTGATTATTTCGAAACTTCTTGTGCCTGAGGGCAGTTATAGAATCCTAAGTGAATGTTATGAATGCAATTCATAAAATCCATGGAATAGGAATTCACAAAATGGTTTTCATGTGGGAATGGCTATTAGCAAAATAACCACAATGTATAAAAGAGCAGACAAATACCTATAATAATATGCACATTATGAACAATTTTAATATAAAACAATAAAAATGCAGGGTCCTCCAGCGTACCAAGCAGAATTACATGAAGAAAATATTCACCAAGCCCATGTTGAAATAGTTCTAGTATGAGCAATCCACAAATCTTAGTATAGTCTGTACCAAATTTATTTATATATTTATTCATTCATTTGTTCATGCATTCTAAATCTGGGATGAACTGTGGGGAGCTATTATTTCATTCTGATTACATATCAAAATCAGTTTATGTATAGGCAGTAGGCATTAGTGATAATCATATCTATGCTGTCCACAATTCCGGTTCATTATTTTTGACATATCAAACCAAGCCATCAAATTCTAGCATGGTCATCAGTTTCATCCTTTTGAGTATGAATGGGTTTTCCACTTGCTGAGTCTCTTTGGTGGTTCTGTAAACCAACAGTATTTGTTAAATTATTGTTATAAAATGTTATTTTGAAATGAAGTTTTGTAATACATATCTATGTATTCTACAAAATGCTTAAATTTATCCATTAAAGTAAAAAAGGTAAATTACATTTTTTGTAATTTGCTTTCACACAATTTTTAACACAATGAAATGAACAAAACTCTCATTTCTGCAGAGTACAACAATTGACACCTATTGAACATACAACAAACTTCAGAAATTGATGTGTCTCTTGCAACTTTGCTGGTGTGGCACATAGTTATCTTACAAGTGTCTGTAGAAGTATATATATTAGTGAAATTCAGTTTTTTATTCATTTTATTTTATAAAATTGGAAGGTTCTATCACTGTTTTGTTATAGGGCTGGGGGTGGCTGCTGCCGGGTGCACAAAGGCGCACAGGTGGCCGGTGTGGCATGAGCGCACCAGGGCTTGGGCTTGGGGTGGCTGCTGCCAGGTGCACAAGGGTGCGCAGGTAGCCGCCACAAGTGGGGATGCTGCAGGCACCATAGACAGGCCCCTTGGGGGGAAAAAGCCACAGGACTTACCAGAGCAACTTGCAACCTTGACTTTGCTTGTGGGAAGCTGGCAGGGAAGGTCATAAATGGTGATCACATGACATGGGATGCTGCAGTTGTCATAAGTGCGAGCTGGTTGCCAAGTGCCCAGATCATGATCACATGACCATGGGGGTGCTGGGACAGCCGGAACTTTGAGGACCTGTCATAAGTACCACTCATTCAGTGCTTTCACTGAACAAGTGGTTGTAAACCGAGGACTACCTGTATTGCAAAGTTTGATAACTCTTATCGTAGGAAGTTACATAGTATCCTTATATAGAATATCTTCTGTTTTAACATGAAAACTATTTTCCCCTTTTTGCGTGTTCATCCTGTTGAAAAGGATTATTTGTGAAAACTAAATTTGGTGATTGTGTTGTCTAGAGCTCATATATCTATTTATCCTCACTATTCTCATTAAAGAAATGAGTCAAAAACATTATGCTTGTTCATTTATTTTTTGAGGAAAATGATCCAAATGTTTTTAACTCATTTCTTTAATTGGGTTCTCTTTATCTAGTTTTAGGACTTGTGTGAAGAACATCACATTTTAGGTCATATTTATGCAGAATTATTGAACATTCAAAACTTCTAAGCATCACTGTAGATGATATGAAAAAAACAACAACTATATTTTGGAAGAATCACTTTAATTTGTGTTGAAATCACAAAAAAGGACAACATGTCTCTTGTTAAAAATTCTTGTATAAGCAGCTCAGGTGGAAATACCTGCCACTTGGAAAACTGCTTCTGGACTACTTCTGTCTAAGTCAGGTGTTAGCAACCTATGCCGAGCAGATTGGATCTAGCCCAGTACCCGAAATCATCTGGCCTGTGGTCCCCAAAATAAATATATCCAGTCAGCCTGCAAGAAAGAGGGAGAGAGTGGTCATCAATTTAGCTGCTTTTGTGAGCGCTTGCTGCTTCACTGGGTGGCTAATTTGGCAACAGGTTCACCAGCCTTTTTGGTGTGTGTGCGTCTTCAAGTCAGTCTTGATTTCTGGCAACTACATGGGAAGTCCCTTCCATTTTCTTGACAACATTTTTGGAAGTGGTTTGCCATTGCCTGCTTCCTACATTTGAGAGAGAGTGACTGGCCCAAGGTCACCGAGCTGGCTTAATGCCTAAGGTGGGACTAGAACATACAGTCCCACAGTTTCTATCCTAGTGCCTTAACCACCACACCAAGCTGGTTCTATGAGAGAGCATAAGTAAATGGGAAAGTGGTATATTTCTGCCAATTTGTTATTTATTATGTTTACTATATCTGTTTTGGAAGATTCTGTTCTCCTTCTGAAGAGAAAGAATCTAAGACTCAGGAATTGTAAAGACTATAACAACAGGAAAGTATATAGACATATCCAAGCAGTTAAAGCTAATTTGACATAAACTTATATTTTGGATACTGCTTATACCCACTTTTGAATGTCTGTCTGTCTGTCTGTCTGTCT